AAAAAAAAAATGCTTTGCAAAAATATGTACAGTGGAATTAGTTTTGAGGCTCAGTTAATTATTTTTTTCATTTATATCACTGTCCAGCAGGATGTATGAATGACAAGCAGGATACAGAGGAGGTTTTTTGTTGTCCCAATGTGTGCAGAATCAGTTCTGTGCACCCAGCATCCCTGTCCTCCAGAGTAGCCCTAGTCATTGTAATCACCACACATGTACCCATTCATTTCCAAATACCACTGCTACCTTTGTTTAAAAACAATTTAGTTCTCTCAACATTTTATCTTTACATCCTAGTGCTTCCATCTTTTATTTTAAAAAACAGGTGGGAATAGGATATAAATATGTCCAGATAAGTAAGTCCTGATCTAGCCATTTATCTAACTTTTCTTTAATCCAAGGAAAAGAAATCTTTTAGAGTAATCTAACCTTTCTTTCTTAGACAATTTTAAAGTCTACTATCATAACACTAGGGCTCCTGAAATATTTATTATGTGGACCTTCCAACATTGTCCATTCTGTGGCTGTCATTTCTTTTAATTAGGATAACTCCAGTTTACATTTTTCTAAAATACTTGTATCAGTAATTTAGAAATGTCAAATACTTCATTTTAGACTTATGGGATATTACTTGGACTATCCGAGATCTAATTATATGTTTGTACATAGATAAATGACCTGCTTTGAGAACAGTAGATCCTCAATATTTTGGATCTGAAGACCCTATGAAAACCTGATTTAAGCTATGGGTACCTCTTCCAGAAAAATAGACTTGAAATTATACATGGAATTCCAAAAGGCTCACAGACCCCTGGAAACCCAGACCATAATGAATCTCAAGTTGAGAATTCCTGGATTATAGCAGTTTCCTCATTTGGGTGTTGATTATCAGCTAGTGATTTCATAAGGAAATAATTTGGTGTTATAATCCATTCACTAAGATAATAGTGATCTTCAGATAGGGTTTTTCAGTGCTCTTGATGCATGTGCTTTTTTTAGGTACAGTCCTCTTAGAACCTCACTATGCTTACAGTGTGTTCATAGTCAGTTCTCCACAACTCATTATGTTGTGCTCATTATTTCTGATCTTTGAGATAGCCATTTTAGTACTGGGAAATATTTTCTTGGTACTATGACTTTTAGACCTCTTTGACTTGTGACTGAACTGTGTATATATATTGCATTCACCAGTTTGGTGTCTCTCTCCTAAAACAGTGGACTATTAATATATTCCATTCTTAAAGCTTTGCCTAACCTCATTCATGAGCACCAAATGTGTCATACTGACGAACAGTGTGTTGACACAATCCTTTGCTTGGTCATCTCCTCAGGAGATTATCTTTGAAAAATCTCTTCTTTGTCTATTAATCCTTTCAGATGTCCTGTAATATTTTAAGAACTTTTAAGGTAATCATATTTGGAACCAGTGATCCCTGCTTTTGTCTTTGTAGGCACAGATCCATATATTTGAAACTTTATAATAATTTCAGAACTTTTTTGTTTAACTCTGAAGTCTAGCAAGAGAGAACTTTTTGTACTAACCTAAAATGGATGGTACTACAAAAGGAGATTCATAACATCTATGTTCAGTAATACTTGTAACTCATCTAATAAATATGTAATAAATAAAAGATTTGCCGTACATATTCAGTAGATTGGTTTTAAGATATGACAGCTCAGTGTTTGAGCTCTCCACTGTGGCAGTCTGCAGGTCTGATGACCAGAAGAGCTCGTTTGAGCTTGTCGTAGTAATATTTAAACATGTTGGCAGGAACATCCGGTTTTCAAACATGTAGATGCACTAGTTCAGTATGTCTACTATCTCATCATTCAGGAGATGAGTTTCACTCATATTTTCTTGTATTTATACTGCAGGGTAGGTAATTTCAAAGATAGTAATCAAGAGGTGGTATCTCTAGTATCTGTTCCTGTTTGATGACTTTACTGTGGTTTGGGCTCTTAGTAATCACTGGCCTTTTGAACTTCTATAGAGTAGACAAGTAATGCTTCTGAACAGCCTCCATTGTAATGTCTGTATTGGGTTGTGCATTAAGAGCAGTAATGAGTTTTGAACTTTAAAGAGGTAATTATTCTAAGAAAGCACATCAGAATCACAATAAAGACTTCTTAATTAAAAATGAGAGGGATAGATGGGCAGAAAAACTTCAAATTATGTGATTTCAAATAATCTGTTCATTTGATAGAAAGACTATTAGAGTAGCTTATCTGCTCTAAAGAGTTGAATTAGACACTGTTGTAGATAAATATCCCATTTATTAGTCTGGAAGGCACCCTAGTGTTATGACTAGAGCACTGGATTAAAAATCATCTGTGTAGGCCGGGCGCAGTGGCTCACACCTGTAATCCTAGCTCTCTGGGAGGCCGAGGCGGGCGGATTGTTTGAGCTCAGGAGTTCGAAACCAGCCTGAGCAAGAGC